CATGGTGCTTCATACCACATCTGTCTAGAAGATAATAAAGCATGTGAATAAGTAATAATATCAAGTACAGGTTAAGTGTTCAGGGGGAAAAAACTTGCAAGAAATTAGAGGGTGACCAGGAAATTAGAGGGTAATAAATTAATCTAAGTAAAGACCTGAATGAAAGGAGTGAATAAGCCATGCCTTCAGTGGGGGAAGAACATGCCAAGCACTAGGAACAGTCAATGCAAAGGCCCTGAGGCAGAAACCAACCTGGCAAACTAAATCAACAGGAGAGAGGAAAGTAAGGCTGGAGGGGAGTAAGCAAAGCAGAGGATACTACTAGGGAGGTGGGCAGGAGCCCAACCATGTAATCACCAAGGCCTCTTGACCATAATAAAAACTTCAGATTTTACCCAACAGGGATGAGCTCTGATGACTGAGAGATATAATCTGACTTGATTCAGACCTTTTAAAGCTTATGCTGGCTGCTACGGGACAGAGACTGGAAGCTGAAAGACCGGTTAGGTGCTACTGCAGTAGTCTGTGACAAGATGGTTTGACACAAGGGTAGTCGCACTAGAGGTAGACAAATATGGAATAACTAAGTCAGAGCCCATAATACTTGCCAATGGAGGAACAGATGTAGGAAGCGTCAATCAGGGGAAGTAAGGACAACTCTTTGGAGTTTCAAACTGAACAACTGAACAATGGATGGTGATACCATTACTGAGCTAGAGAAGAATAAGAAGCCATAGCCAGTGAGGCAGGACGAAAATCAATGTCCCAGCAGCCAAGGGAAAAAAATGCTTCTATAAGGAAGGAGTTCTCTCACCTGTGTCAAATGTGGCTGTAAGAGCTACTTTGGCAAGACTGACATTCCTGGTGAGGGACGACGGGGAAGAATGGCTCTGGGGCATAGGAAGGATAGGTCTCTGGAGTAGGTTCAGAAGAAGATGGGAGACGAGGAGTTGAGGAGATGCAGCCCACATGGAATCCTTGAAAGACTTTTGGACTCAAAGTAGCTTTATTATTTTTTGAAGTTCTACTTTCCATTTTTTGAAATTTCAAACTTAAAAATTGAAAAATTTAGTAAATACTCTTATTCCTTTCACCTAGATTCACCAATCATTAACATCTGCCACATCCGCTCTATTACTCTCTATATGTAATATTTACTATTGCTTATTCATTTGAGAGTAAATTGAAGATATTTTGAACCTTTACTCCTACATAATTCACTGTGTATCTTCTAAGAACAAGGGCATTTTCTTACACAGTACAATTATCAAATTATCAGGAAACCTAGCACTGATGCAACATTATTATTTAGTATTCAGTACATATTTAGATTTTGCCAATGTCCCAATAACGTTCTTAGAGCAACTGGATTTTCCAGCCCAAGATCCAATCCAGGATTTTATGTACTGCATTTAAGTGGCAGGTCTCTTGAAATTCCTTTAAACTGAAATAGTTCCTCTTGTCTTTCTTTGTCTTTCATAACATTAATATCCTAGAAGAGTAAAAGCCAGTCACTTGGTAGAACAATCCTCAACTGAGGTCCCTCAATTGTTTCCCCATGATCAGATTTTGGTTATGCATTTGAGAAATACTACAGAAAAGTAATGATGCCCCTTGTTCAAGCACATCAAGAGGAACATGTTTATTCCACTGTTGGTGATGCTAACTTTGGTTGAGGTTGTGTCTGCCAGATTTCTCCACTGTGAAGTCACTGTCTTCCCCTTGGTCATTATCTCTAGAGAGATCATGAGAAACTGTATTAATATCCTTTTCCCCATCAAACTTTCTCCTTTGGTAACACCTGCCTGAATTAAAATCACCATGATGGTTGCAACTGGTGACTCTTCTAACTCTATTGTTTCTTCACATTTTTATTGGCAGTCTACTGGGAAGAGCTTTCCCCTTTTCCTTACTTTATTTATTTATTATGAACTTGTGGATTCTGATTTTATTCAATAGGTTATAACTTGTTACTATCGCTATTCATTTTGGTGCTCAGACTTTCCCAGATTTGGCCATTCAAGCTAGTTCCAATGTCCTTTTGACATGCGCCATAATTTTTTTTTTTAATATTTCCTTACTTTGTGTTCTAGGCCGATCTTATTCTTTCCCTTCCTCAGCTCTGGAACCAGCCATTTAGACCTGGGCACTGGTTGTGCTCACTGCTACTAGGGTGTCACTGCTCCTAGGCCCTTTCCTCAGACAGAGCTAGGAATTATATGCATGTATGTATGAATGTGTGTATGTGTATTTTAACCATGAGTTCATATGGATAACTCTAATTCCAATCCAACACCACAGAGTTCTTCATTGCCTTCTTCTGTTTCATATTTTTATTTCCCTTCTCCTACAGAGAAAACTCTAGCTCCCAAAATAGCAATGAATTTGCTCAGTCCTACAGCACACACAATATAGTTTCAGAATTGCTGTAACTCTACCACTATAAATAACAGCCTACTACACAAACCTCAAAGTTTTTTGTATTTTTCTTTTCGGCAGTGCTTTTCATCTTTAGATTAAAGGTATATAATCGAAGTCCTGTGTTAAAAACTTACCTGGATTCATTTTTTTCCTAAGAGCTTATG